TCGTGTCCAGACGGTGTCAAAGCTCCAGTCAAGGTCACGGACGTGTCTGGTCAACTGGCCAACCACTTCCCAAGGCCAATTAACAAAGGACCTTGGTGCAGGGATTGTTTACGATCAGACACTCCTGGAGCGGCCCGCTCATGGCTGGACTTGCACATGTCTGGGAGTCGCTTACCTTTTACCCATGTTCAACACCTTCTACACTTAATTAAATTATCCCTAACACTCTGGCCTTCCACACCTTATATTATCTACCAGCTTATAACTGTTGGGGTACGTTCTATCGTCTACTATCTGGCCGGACTACTTCGTATCCCAAACTCATATAAATCCACTGAGCGGTTAGGTTAACCAAAACATTACAGGTGGCTCGTTAGGAAATTACAAAGTTAGCATTCGAGTATAATATACGCTTAATGTAGAAAAGCAAGGCTCATACCAGCGCCGGCATCGCGTGTCACCAAGGTGAATTCTGCAGGTTCTCCGGCGCGTCCATGACTGAGGCCCGGGCCGTAGGCAGTTACACGTCCTGATCCAACAGGCTCCACGTAGAACCGGAAGGGACTTCCCTCGATTGGCTGGCCGTTATAGGTTATCTCAAGGTCGTGCATGCCTGCTTCTGTCGGCTGGAACTGAGCAGTGATTGTTCCATCACCGTTATCCAGTAAAGTGGGCCGAATAGGGCGACCAGACGGCGGGTGAACAATGCCTATATTAAGTTGTCCCCAAAGAAACAAAATTTTATTATTTGTGGGCTTTCGTTTTGCAGGGGCAGGTTTTATGATAGTGTCTTCAGTCATCTGCACTGTGAGTCTAGGAAAAGGTATTTTTATGTATGCTTTCAAGTATTTTTTTTTAGATTTGTAAGGGCGAAATCAAAACTAAATGAAAATAATCCTAATACATATCCAGTCAGGTTTTATCGGGTGCACCTATTCAGGTGGTCAGAATGATACGCATTAAAAAGTCGGCATCCTAGCCTGCCTTCACCATCTCAGGATGATGCCGCATGCTTTTTACTAGCATAAAACTACCTAAATAATCTTATTTAACCGAAATCATATCGTACCCTTTAGGTAGACGTTTGTTAAACATGTCACCTATCCTATTTACACAATCGGAGCACTGTGGAGTATACTATGAAT